GCTGCAACCTTTGCCTCCCGTGTTCGAGCAATTCTCCTGCCTCAGCTTCCGTAAGTGCTGGGATTACAGGTGTGCGCCACCACACCATCTCTACTAAAATACTAATTTTTGTATTTTTGGTAGAGATGGAGTTTCGCCATGTTGGCCAGGCTGGTCTCCAACTCCTGACCTCAGGTGATCTGCCTGCCTTTGCCTCCCCAAGTACTGGGATTTCAGGCGTGAGCCACTGCGCCCGGCTTTAGTTTAAGCATTTGCATTAACGGCCCAATGACAGCAAGACAGTATGTTCGTTGATCAGGGTTCAACCTAACCCTTCCTCGCATTTTTAAAAACAGCTTTTATTTGGTAAACTTCCCATCTGACAAAGAGCCATAGAGGCTAGAGTACTAGCTTCAAAGTACCTTTTTTCCTTTGCTGATTTTACCGAGCGGCTCTGTGCCATTAAGCGTTCTGAGAAGAAGCTAGAAAAGGGGAAGTACCAGTTTCCATATCAATTTGATGGTGACAGCGAACCGGATTCAAGTCCCTAATTATCTCCACTGCACGCCGGCGTTCCGGAATGAAAACTCTGACGCTCCAACTCTGATCCACGGTGTGTTGCCGTGGATCGATTACTTTTGCCTGGCTGGCAGATACCTCTCAGGAGAGCACCGGACAGCCATTGGCCCAGGAATGGCGGCGGGTCCGTGACGTCCTCATCTCGGCAGGCGCTTGGGTCGCTGAGACTCTGGAGGCCGCGCTGGGTCGGCTTGGCAGGTGTCCAGCTAGCCGGAGTTGTAGTCACTTTTGCACCCGAAGCAGGGCGCGCCTTGCGCTAGACCACGATCCTGTGCTATGGAGTCCCGTGATGGTGTGGTGTTTGAGAGGCGGCAGCCAGGAGGCAAGTGTGTGTAGCTGGGGCATTTGGAAGGGTTGGGGCCACCTGCTGGGCCGGCTGGAGACTGCGGGAAATCGCTACTGCGTGAGGCCAGGACAGGGACCCTGCCTAGATGGATTGAGAGTTTTTAGACCGTTCTTTTTCTTGTCAAGGTTGAGAGACTGGCAAGAGACAACAAAGTCAACTGACATAAGTGTCAGGTTTTAACCCAAGTCTTGATGATTACAAAACCTGCATTTTTCTTATTACAGCAGGACACTTCCTGGGATCACTAGGACTAAATGTGGCTCTTTAACTGTACAATTTTCGACATCTCCCACGGGTCAGTTTCCTGGTCTGTGAAATGGGCTTATTCGTACTTCACATCGTTGTAGAGCTATATAAAGTGCTTAGCCCAGTGTCTGCCTAATGGTGGGGGCTCCCAAAGTGATAGCTGTGTTGTCATTTGTTTCTACAGCTCTTTTTTTTCTATTTTTTGCAATATCTGTGTACCACCCTACTACCTAGATTTTTGTTGTGTTAACAAGCTACCACAAACTTAATGGCTATTAGTATATTACTGTTGCCATGATCTTAGATTTTGTTTCTTATGTAATTGTGTCCCCTTCTACCCTGAAAGCCCTGAGGAAAAGGACCTTGTCCCACTGATAAAGGGAATGTAGGTTGACTTAGGTATACATGGAAACATTAAACCTTGGAATTTGACAGACCCTAGTTGGAATACAAACAGTTCCTTTATGTGCTTTTTTCCACCCCAAATGGGCAAGTTGTTTGCTTTTGCAACCCTCAATCTTGCCCATAAAGCTTTGAAACAGGAGCTAGGCCTTCCAGTGTGAATTAAGTTTAATTGTACTAACAAGGCCACTTTATTTACACACAACATAAGAGTTACTTTTGGAAGGATTATGAGTCTTATCTTGCTAGCTTGCCAAATATACTAATTAATTTGTTGGCACAAATGGAGCCAGGAAGACCAAAAACATTAGATTCAATGTTGTTTGTTCCAAGAAAACTACTTCCTAGAATAAACTCAAGTAATAGGTCTTTTTCCATATAGGAATCTTGTGTAAAAACAGTATATTATCACATAAATGCCATTATTACTATAATATCTTCAAGATGGATTTTTTCTTTAGTAAATATTAGTAATCTTTGTGCAACAATATGCTGAAGAAGGCTTTAAGTACCAGGTATAAATGCCCATCAATGGAAGATTGTATAAAGAAAATGTGGTACATATATGCTATGGAATACTATGCAGCCATAGAAAAGAATGAGATCATGTCCTTTGCAGGAACATGGAGCTGGAGGCCATTATCCTTAGCAAACGAACACAGGAAAACCAAATACCACATGTTCTCACTTATAAGTGGGAGCTAACTGATGAGAACACATGAACACGAAGGGAATAACACACACTGGGGCCTACTTGAGAGTGGAGAGTGGGAGGAGGGAGAGGATCGGAAAAAGTATCTATTGGGTACTAGGCTTAGTAGCTGGATGATGAAATTGTCTGTGCGACAAACCCCTGTGACACAAGTTCACCTACATAACAAACCTGAACATGTACCCAGAACCTGAAATAAAAGTTTTTTTAAAATAGAGCACCAGGTATATGGTAATAATCTTCTCCTTTTCTTCTTGATAAACCTTTTGAAAAAGTATTGAATTTTCTGCTTCAGCTTTTTCTTTATCCCATAAATTCCTCTATCACCAGTGACCTACTACTTTTCAAATCTAATACTTTCTCATTTTGGTCTACCCTGACTGTTCTACAGTACATGCTCCTTATGCACACTCTCTGCTTTTTAAAAACTTATCTTACATATAACCATTTTGCTTAGGCTTCTTATAGCATGGTGCTGGGTTCCCAGAGGGAGCTTCTTTGGGAGGTAAAATCTGGAGACTGAGTTCCACGTGAACAGGTGAAAGCTTTTTTTTTTTTTTTTTTTANTTTTTTTTTTTTTAATTTTTATTGTATTTTATTATTTTATATTTTTACCTCACTTCAGAAGTAATCAGGTTCATTTCTGTTGCACTCCGGTAGTTACAAACAACCACCAAGTCCAGCCAAGCCCAGATTCAAGGGTAGGGTAATTGAGATTCCATCTCTTGGTGGCAGAATGGCAAGGTTACATAGCATAAGAAAATGTGGGATAGAAGCTATTTGAATGATATATGTAATCTCTCAATTTACTGGGATTTCCTTGGAGTCCATTAGCAGATTGCCATTCCTTTTCATCATGCTCTGTTTTCTGAATGCCAACTAGGAAATTTTCCACCATGAACAGATTGCTTTTCACCACTGGATAAACATTGCTTGAAATTATGTTGATAGGCAGGTGCCATTTTGAATGTAACAAGAATTTTGATATTGCTGTGGTAGTCTGCTAATGTGGGCTTTACAGCCAGCAAGAGTACATGCTTCATATTCAAGTTAACTTTGGTTTGCTATAATGTAGTTAGGTTAAGAGAAAGTTTCAGCAGAAAGGTGAAAAACCTAACTCTGTCCACCTCCGAGGTAATCCTATTTTCCATGGACAATTATACCCCTAGACATGCACGTGTACCTCAATATCTTCTCAGCTCACAGTGTTTTCCAAATTCCATGTCCCACTTTCTATTTTTTGCAATATCTGTGTACCACCCTACTACCTAGATTTTTGTTGTGTTAACAAGCTACCACAAACTTAATGGCTAAAATAATACAAATTTATTATTTTACAGTTCTTGAAGTCAGAAATCTGACATAGGTGTCACTGGGCCAAAATGAAGGTGTCATCAGGGCTTCTGGAGAATCAGTGAGAAAATTTATTTCTTTGCCACTTCCAGCTTCTGGAGGCTGCCCTCATTCTTTGTTTGCATTTTTCTTCTATTTCCAAGGGCAGTGATGGCAACTTTAATCCATCTCATATCACTTCACTCTGACCTCCACTTCTGCCTCCCTTTTTCACCTTTAAGGACCCTTATGATTACATTGGGACCTCCAGGATAATCCAGGATAATCTTTCTATCTTGAAGTCATCCATCAGCAACCTTTATTCCATCTTCAACCTTAATTCCTTTCTGCCATGTAAAATAACGTATTTACTTTCCAGGGCTTATAAGGCAGGTATCTGCCTACAATAAGATTTTTATTATTTTGGAGATATGTATATCTCAACACACCAAAATACTTGAATAGCAATTGTAAAGGCATCTACAAGTTACCACTTAACCATTAGGTTCTTTTCAACCTTCATAATATCTGAAGCACTACTGTATTAGTCCATATTCATGCTGCTGATAAAGACATACCCAAAGCTGGGAACAAAAGAGATTTAATTGGACTTACAGTTCCACATGGCTGAGGAGGCCTCAGAATCATGGTGGGAGGTGAAAGGCACTTCTTACATGGCAGTGGCAAGAGAAAATGAGGAGGAAGCAAAAGTGGAAACCCCTGATAAACCCATCAGATCTTGTGAGACTTACTATCACACATGAGAATAGCACAGGAAAGATGGGCCCCCATGATTCAATTACCTCCCCCTGGGTACCTCCCACAACTCATGGGAATTCTGGGAGACACAATTCAAGCTGAGATTTGATTGTGGACACAGCCAAACCATATCAACTATGAACTAATGAGATCTTAAGTAGAATTCTCTACCTATCAGATAGGCAAAGATGAACGCATTTGACAATGTACATAATTAATGAAAATGTGTAGAATGTGCATATGCACATTCACTGTTGTTATTAATTAATTTGATATAAATTTGGTAAGTGTACCAAAACTTAAAATAGCTATTCTTTTTGGCCCAACATTTCCACCTCTGCAAAATAAATATTGAGATGTTCTTTACAATATTGTTTATAATTTTGAAGAAAAGAAAAAAGAGATAGTCTCTCTATATATAAATATATAGATATATCATAATTTATATATACCATATATACCTGGCACACATATATCTCTGATATATGTATATAGAGGTATATATAAATTATGATATATCCATATGTTAATACCTATCCCCTTAAAAATGTGTGGGTAGAGGACTTCTAGTTTTGTCCAAGATGAAGTATCCCCATTCCTCCCTAGTATTCCCCTTTGCAACTCAAAAACCCTGGACTTAACAAACAAATATAGGAAGACTCTGAAAGATGGAAAGAAGATGATGACAGACTGCCTAGGGGCTTCATAAAACTTGATTAAGAACTGAGATGAAGGCTGGGTGTGGTGCCTCACACCTGTAATCCCAGCACTTTGCAAGGCAGAGGCAGGCGGATCACAAGGTCAGGAGTTCAAGACCAGCCTGACCAACATGGTGAAATCCCATCTCTACTAAAAATACAAAAATTAACCGGGCGTGGTGCTGCATGCCTGTAGTCCAAGCTACTGGGGAGGCTGAGGCAGCAGAATCGCTTGAACCCAGGAGGCGAAGGTTATAGTGAGCCGAGATTGTGCCACTGCACTCCAGCCTGGGTGACAGAGTGAGACTCCATCTCAAAAAACAAAACAAAAAAAAGAACTGAGGTGAAGTAGTCACCTAGCTTCTGAAAAATGGATAATTTCTCTCAATTCTTGTTTCATGAAGACATTTTGGTAAACAGCAAAGAGTCTTTTCCCAACCAAAAAAAAAGATCCTTAGGGATAAATGGCAAATTCACATCATCTCAGACATCTGCATATTTACTTCTCAGTTTTAGAGTGGATACACTTGTGGGACGTGCATCCTAGGATGGCAGAAAACCAGATGTAGTCCCTGGAATCTCCAGGCTTCTAAAGAAACATTCTTATTATAAAACTATTTCCATGTAAGTGAGTGAAAAATATAGACATCATTTTAATTAACACATCTCTAGCTCTACTTGAAAAGCATTTAAAGAGGTTGGTAGGACACTTGACTCCCTTAGCAGTTGCTGAGCAAATCCTCTGAAAAGCAGTGGAATTTGAATAGCTCAGAGGATGGTAGAGAAGGAACATAAGGATTTTGGAAAAGAAGGATATAAAGAATCCATCATGATCCTCTTTAGCAGGGCATGCCTGGGCAAGGAACGGCGGTCTCAGGGGACTCTCTGTCTTCCTGGATCATTTTGTGCACTCGTATAATAATCTTAGTTTTTGAAACTATAGTTATTCACTTTGGAATTACTCTGGGAATCAAGGAGAGTGGGTCCACCCGTGTCAAATGCTTCTGAGATGTGATGTGAGAAGAGGATACAGAATCAATCACTGAGTTTGGCAACATGGAGGTCATCAGGAACCTTTACTGAGGAAGAATAGGCATGAAGCTTCGTTGGAGTGGATTGAAGAAAGAATGGAAAGTAAGGAAGTGA